AAAGAAAAGCAGCAGGATCAGACATTTTAATTTTTTGGTTCATTTTCTGGGGCAAAACAAATCTCTGCATGTTCTTGGGCAAAGGTGTTAATATGAATTGGTCGTCAACTGACTTGCGTGGTTACAAAATACAAGTACAAGAGAAAAAAAAAATAGCGTGGCACTGAATTACTCCAAGCATGTCGCTTACACTTCAACTTGAACTATGGAATTTAACTCATCTAAAAAAAAAATACATGTGATGGACTAGCAACTTTTTTAGGGTGTCGGCTGCCTTTTATCTTAAGTCAGCTTGAACAGGTGCCAGCAACTGCTGTGACCCCAAAAAGGGTAAGCGGCATTGAATCCTGATGCATCACATTTGGATTGGATGTATCGAACTGGAAGCCCTTCAATCACAGGTCACATTTTGAACCACCCTTCCATCCATCCATTTTCTAATCCGCTCATCGTCACAAGGGTAGCGGGCATGCTGGAGCCTATCCCAGCTGTCTTGGGGCAGGGTGCACCCTGAACTGGTTGCCAGCCAATCGCAGCATTCTGAACCTTTCCATATTTTGTGAAGTAAATAATCGAGAATAAAAACAAGAATGATCTTTGAATGGTCACATTCTATCGTCGGGTAATATATAGGTCTGCACAGACGCCAATAACAGCTCAAGCACAGCAATGATTAATTTCACTTTATTGCGAGGCAGAAGCAGGACCAGCCTCTGGCTAAGAACACTTGAATATGAAGAAACGATAAGATTTTCTCAACTGGCTCGCACGGCTAATATGCGGTGTGATGCCCTGAGAAACAAAATAGGTGGCAGGATGTGGTAACTATTAGCTAGGAAATGGGATCCATCCGAGATGCATTATAATCAGTCAAACACAAGCACACTTCCACTTAAATGCAATCACTTCCGATATACGCCTTCAGCGTCTAATGAAGGCAACAAAGGAGCGTCTCGGCTTGTGAAATTGTGCCAAGCGCACAGGCTTGTGCTGCGTCTTAAAGGTGACAGCACGGGAGACTGATGCTCTGAGACTGATGCGGAGGAGAGACGTCAACCTCCCCCCACTCCACGGACAGAGGAGAGTGGGACTAAGGTGGCGGAGAGGGGAGTGGAGGTGAGGTGAGGTGCGGAGGTTACCGACAGAAACTGTGACCCAGTTGTGGCCACACAAGCTGTTTGCCCTCCACCGCTTCCCAACCCCGCGACACCTCTGCAGACCACATCCTGATAATTGGCTTATGGTGCCACACGGACAGCACACGCACACGCACACACACACACACACGCACACACACACACACACACACACACACACACACACACACACACATACTCCTTGCTGATAGGACTTACTGTGAAGAGGCACTATTTCTCATATATGTATGTGTGTGTGTGTGTGTGTGTGTGTGTGTGTGTGTGTGTGTGTGTGTGTGTGTGTGTGTATGTGTGTGCGTGAGTGACACTTGCGCAATCTAATGAGTTCCAATACAAGAGCTGCATCAAAATTTCAGCTTTTTCTATGACAACAGTTACGTTTTGATTTACACTGACTAGGCGGTTTTAATTTTACAATACTTTTAGTTATAGTGGTGTGGCTTGCAGTATACATACGACTCGCCCTGACAGATAAAATGTAACAATACTCAGGCTCATCTCTTAAAGGGGGGGTGGGGGGTGCACACGGAACAACCTATAGTGACAATAATTAAAAATGGAAAGTGGTACCTTACGACCGAGCCCGATTTTTTTAATAAAGTAATTTCACAACTGCAGCTGTAAGAAAGCGCTGCAGATGAGATCGAAACAAAACTTTAACAACGAATAAAACAATAATATTGCTAAAAATACTATATCTACATCTATAAATACATATATGCATAAATCAATAAATGTATATTATTTTCGGTTGCACAGTCCACCAAGTTTCAACGTTTCAAGAGGTTGTTAGTACACGAGAGATCGGAACATGATTGAAGTCCCCAACGACCGGTTTAAGTGCACAGACATGCTATGTGCTGTCCGAGCTCAAGTTTGAATGTAAACAAACAAGCGCAGTTTTCTAACAGCCGTCCACTGCCGAGTAACACGCCTACACAGAAGGAATGGTGTAAATCTCCTGTGGGATTTAGTCCTCTCTCTTGATTCACTTTACTTTATTACCAGCTCTTGTCCCTGCTCTGGGATGCAGGCCTTGATTTGTGTTAATGGATGTGGGCCAGCTCCTTTGGTAGCATTGTTGAGAAATTATATTTTTCAATCATTAAAAAAAAAAACAAACAAAAAAAAAAAACGAAATGCCACGGCTAAAACGCTGTAACAGTGCAAACGATTTAGCACGACGCACAATGATGAAGCAGTTGAAAAGCACAAATAAAACAGTCAGAGCGGTTGCCGAGTCACAGGCGCATTTTTAATATGCTTAATATTTATATTTTATATTTATTGAGATACTTTTACTTCTCCCTTTCATAATTTTGCTGCTGTAAATTGGGAATTTCTCCATTGTGAGACACATAAAGGTTTTCTTATCTGATCTTATCTTATCAAACAACATCGGCCAATATTTTCCAGAAATGACGTCACGGCTAAAACGCCGTAAATGTGTCACAATAGGTTAGCGCGACACCAAATCAACAGTAAATGAAAACCAAAGTGTGAAAAGTACGAATCAACACAAGTGGGTGGATGTGTTTCTTTAGTTATTACTATTTCATGTGAATTCATTCAGTCTCTTGCCACTTTGCTGCATCAGTACCAGCCAGAAGGTATACATCGGAAAAACACTAAATTCATTTGAAGTGAAAATGCGGTCACAGTATGGATGATTGTTGCCTGTAACTGGATAGATATCAAGCAGCCCTTCCACCATGCTGGATAAATACATACAAACTGATACATTGGGCCAATAATCTATGCAACGGAAACTAAATTGCTTTTCTGTTTTGAAGAATCTCCATGACGCCAACGGCATATACCCGAAAACAGACAGCATTAATGTAGTTAAGGAGATTGTAAAGGAAATCATTTAGCTTTACATCTGCTCTACAGGTATTGCCACCAACATCTCCTCCGATTTTTCATTCGCCGAGCTCCCACAGACCTGCACGCACACCTAATCACGACAGCCGTATAAATACACTTAATCGCTGGAACACTCACGCAAGGCGAGAGCAATCCTGCAGACGCGCGGAGGCATGCGCAAGTAGGCTAGAAAAGAACACCGAGAAAACATGTGCAAGATCTTGCTCAATCAGTCTGATTTGTTTGTTTCCTCCTAAGCGTTTGAGGATTTCTCAAGGAGGGGAGGGAGGGGGGTTGGGGGGGGGAGAAACTTTGTATAATCAAGTCAATTATGTCATTCAATCAAGTCAAAAATCATTTTGAGCCCTTTCTCAGATCCATTGATTGCAAAAGTCGTGCCGCGTATTTGCTTGCCGAGTTTCTATTGTGCAAATAAAGCAGCCGGGCCGTGGTTGGGCCTTCCAAGCATCCTCAACAGAAGAGGAGCCAAACAAAGTCATTCACCTTGCTCGTTTCCAGCCAGGAAAACAACGCTTGCCTTTTGGAGGAGGGGAGAGATGGTTGCATACTGGGTCTGAACCAAAAATAACTGTTTCCATTATTTCATAACAGCTCTTTTGTCTCCTTGAGGACACGCTGCATTATGTGCCCATGAAAAATCCATCCTCGTGGAAACTGTTTAAACTCAAGGTCAAGTGCTGATGTTCCAGAGACTGTATCAGCTGAAGGTGACCTTGGCGGATGTGGAATATGACATGAGGGAAATGGATCTCCACTCAGCGTGAGGAAATTATCTGTGAAATGCTGCCACTGTATCAAAGCCTGTTTGTGTGCACGTGTGTGGGTGTGAGGCATGCATGTCCTTGTATTAAAGGGCGTGGAAATATGCCTCGCTCAGCTGGGGGGGATTGGTCTGAGAACAGTTCACTGCACCATACCACAAACTGCCGCACAAAGCCAGCGAAGGCCACGCAGCGAGAAAGCGACGCCGCTATTTTCATTTCCATTGCAAGTTGCAGGTGGAACCCGCAAAGGTCCGACCGACTCTTAAAACCTCGCAAAAATTTGGGAGCTCAAACGCATATTGCACAATTTGGAGCATCGAGCTGTCTCAGCGCATTAGTCCGCACGTCACGCGCTGTTCACGTAACTTGAAAGAACTCATTTTCGGCCCGTTTCAAAGGATTAACTCTGCATTTGTGTTCCGCGTTTCGCTTTGGAGGTGTCTTTTGGCGACATATTATCCTGAGAGAAAGATAAAGGTAAGAAAAGAGAAGGCGCGAAGAGGAATACCTTAAACTAAGCGCATATCCTAAGCAGAAAAGATTCCGGTGGTGTCTAAGCACGTCTGTCCAGCGTTGCTCTATTTCAGTTCCATTACAGTTGACGATAATAGCTCTTAGCCAAAAGCGTTGTTTGCTGCTTTTATTGGTCTTTTTATGTTGTTTACTTCCTTTCTGTTCCCACTCACAATGGCTTGAGAGGACTCTCAGTCAGAGCTAGTATTGAAACCAGTTTTTGGTGTACAGAGGACCTTGATTTCGATACCCCGTGTCACGGATTTGATAGACATGATAGAATGCTTAACCGTTTAAGAGTGTTGCCTTGTTTCTAAAAATGATATTGGACTGATGAAATTCTGTTTAAATTCATGTAAGAGTTAATCATGTAAAAATATTACAGTCCCATTAAACGCAACTTTGTTTTTTTTTTGTTTTGGTTTTTTTTTTGGCCTGGAGAAAAAAAAATATTTCAGCTGGCCACGGAACAGATTGTGAACAACTTTGGAGGTTCCACTTAAATATGATTTGGCGACTATTTTCTTTTTTCAATCATTTTCGCCACGTGTAGAGACATCATTTCCATTGTTTCTTTGTCGCGATAAATGTAGAATTTTTTTTTTTTTTTTTTTTTTACATACAATCGGTGTATGACACGATTGTCAGGCTTATGAACAACAACAAAAAAGAGCCTTACCTTCCCAAACTGTTCAAAATACTGCTTCACATCTTCCACTACTGTGTTGGCTGAGAGGCCACCCACGAATATTTTCTTCGTTCTTGTGACCATCTGAAAGTAAACGGAAGAAATGATTAGTCAGATAATACTTTCTATACATTGCAGATCTTTAATGAGCGACACGTCTGATATCGAGGACGCATGCATTCTTCTTGAATGCAAGCACACAATAAAACCACCATTTGAAATTCCGCATTCGTAGCAAGCAAGGTCACAAGGCTGAACGTTTTGACAGGGGGGCGGGGAGGGGGGCAGGGGGAGAGAATAAACACCGTTCTGTGATTCTCTCTGCCAGACAACATCCACATCTCATCCTCAAAAAAGTTTGGTCCAACTTAAACAACTTCGGCATTCATTTACGAGCAAGAAAACAAATTAATGAGCACTGATGGAATCAGGGTGCATTAAAAGCCTCATTTAATTCCAACCAGTGACAATATGAAGGATTATTACTCACAGCATCAAAATAGCCCCCAACAAAAAAACAAAACAAAACAAAAAAAAAAAAACATCTTGGTACTAAATTTGGAGGTGGAGACAGGATAAGGGAACGACAGCAAAAATGTCACAACGCTATAATTTCATGTGTGACGAGTTCATGTGGCGCTTCTGAACATTTAAGAACACAAACAGATTCAAGCAGCGTTTTAACATTGTCGTTGGGAAGATAACCGCCGCTATGCATTACCATGACATTGTAATCATTATGACGGGGAATATTAGGTTCAAGACGACCACTATGTATCCCATCTTGTGTTTCACAAAAAAAAAAAAAAAAAAAGATCATAATAATGTAATAATAACGTCAGCTAAAGTGAATCTTAACTGACTTTCGAATGACACTGACTCCATGTACGTTTGATAAATACGTCATATGAGTACGACGCCGTTTTTATGCTTTGCCAAAATAATTTCACGACAATGACAATCATTGTCCAATCACTTCCTCAATCTGTGCTTTTCCTACTGGAGATCTTAGTTTACATTGACACGTTTGGCTGCATAGATAATCCAATAAGATTAGCAGAAACAACCCCCCCAAAAATAAAAATGTCAACCTTATAATAATTCTCGAGAATAACCCAGCTGGAGAGTTGACGGTTGAGGAAAAACTATTTTGATCCAAACGCTGACTGAAATACTTTGAATGCATGAAAGATAGGCTTAACAGTGATGAAAAGAAGCACGAATCAGCTCCAAGTCACATCTGTCAAGGGCTTTCCAAGTGCGGCGACTCTCACTGGCACAAAATGTGCACCATACGAACATGCGCTCGCGCACTCGAGTCCTCTCTGATTACATGCGGTGTTTATTGATCGTGCGTTGATACTTTTGATATTGTGAATGCACAAATTGATTTTCCGAAGAAATGAAAACATTCCAGAAAGATTCCGACGGCCACTGAAAGATGGTTTTAAAAATGCGTGGAATACATGTACAGTCAACGAAGCCAATATCTTCAAAATACAGAATCAGTTGAGAACAGCGTGGCAATATAACATCCAGCACATGCCGTGGTTAGATAATGGCTCTGAGAAAATGACTTCCTCACTTCAAACTTTTCATCGGGAAAGAGTGTGATGTCACTCAAGTTTTTGAAGGGGACAGTCATAGCGAAGCCAAGCGCTATTCTGCTTTTCCCCTCCTTTGTAATACATCAACATGCCAAACGATGAAGCGGCTGGTCGCAGGTTGTACACAAGAATAGACCCGGCAGCTGCATCGTGCTCCTCTCCCCTCTTCCTTGCCAACATCATCCCTCAGACCTTGGGGGTTATCAGCCCTGAATGCCACCGCCGGCAACCCCGGGCCAGACAGCTGCTGATAAGCCGGCTGTGTGAGTATTCATCATCATCACTCACCGTTATCTTTGCAAATCAAGGTAAAATAAAGAAATTGATAAATAAACAAGCCAACGTGAGCAGTGGCTTGCCTCGTTACATCAGCTCTTTGTCCCGTTTCCCTTCCAGGCCGCCCATTCCCTGGTCATCTTTCCATCTAGTTCCATCAAACCTGTTCCAGCCTGTCAAGTTTTCAGCCTTGTCTCTTTCCTGAGAAGCTGATGGCATTGCTGACTCCCGTTATAACACAATTACTTGCTCTGTTTTTTTCTTTTTGGTTTTTTTGGGGGTTCCCATGGTGACTGAAGACATTATGGCTCTGTACTATAAAATGAAATAGGGAGGTTCGATTTTGTTAAGACATTACATTTTGTTTCAAAAACAAGTCCTTAACGTGTTTTGAATAAAATATGCAAATATATCACCTGCCTAAGTCTGATGAATGTTGATGAACGCAGTAGCACTAACTATTGAGGGAAACAATAGTTTGTCAAAAATCACTGCAGAGTAGAATTTTGTAAAAAACATGGAATGCAAGAAAACACCTGGAGCATTTCAACAAAATGTTTGAATGGACAGAGATTCAGCACAGCTGTTTTTTTCTGAACCTAATTTTCCAGCTATTTTTGCACCTCCCAAAGAGACCCTAAAGCAAGGGTGTCAAACTCATTTTTACATATGACAATTTGAAATTTTGGTTCAGACTTCAGCAAGCATCATGGAAGCCACATAAAATGATGTGCCGGGCCAGATCTGGACCCCGGACCTTGATTTGGACACCTGTGCCTTAAAACGGACGTGTCTGTGTGTGTGTGTGGGGGGGGGGAGTAATAGGCTTGTAATCATTGGAGGTAATCTCAATCCAGAGAGGTATTAAAGGTATCTTTCGAGGCTACCTCCAGAATTTGGGAGTGTCGAAGATTGGAATGGCCTGCCAGCAGTCCTGACCTCAACCCCATTGAAACATTGTGTGGTCTTTTTAGGTGGGCTGTTTGTGCCAGATTAACAAACACAACCACAGTGGCTGACTTGCAACAAAGGCTGCTTGAAGAATGGGATGTCATTCAACACCAGTGTGTGATTCGAATGGTGAGCAGCAATGAAGAAGTGTCACCGTGCCAGGTTGTTGGAGCTGTCGATGGTTCTTGTGGGGGCACCTGTGGTTGCCAAGTGGTTATGCTTGCTGCCTGTCACTGTGGGGGACCTTGTAAAATCCCAGCCATCGACCAGCTGAAGAATGTGGGCGATGGACAATACAACCATAACATCATCCGGACTCATGGCTTTGGTTTTGCTGAGCTAGACACGGACACCTTCAACTCTTCCCGAGCTACTCCCCGAAGCCCGCTGCTCCACTGTGTGATGCTAACGACGTGTGTGAGTGTGTGTTCACTGCAGTGATGGGTTAAAAGCAGTGTGTATGAAAGTGCATGTGTGCATGTATGTCGTGACAATACAGATGATTCCTCATCATCTTATTCCCCAGACACCATACAAAAGTCAACGGCAAGTACGCTGTTTGGCATTCGCAGAGAAGCTTGGCAAACTTTTCATGGCCCCAACCCACATCATCAGCTTTGTTGCTCATCTCAATGCATGCTCCTTCCAAATGTGGCACCATTTAAAAGAGTACCATAAAAGACTTCCCAGCGGTAAGTAGTAATTGCCTAGAAGCATTGTTAGATCCATGAAATAACCTCTCAAAAACAAATGTACTTACTTTTTCTGCTATGTTGTAATGATTGCCGTACGATGTTAAAATTCATCAAAATAACTCAAAATATTTGCCAGGCAAACATTGTCCAGAGAGCACTTACTGCATACTTCACTGTTAACTTTTCCCATGCAACCCAACATCAATCAATCGTATGCCGTTCACCAACAGTGTACAAGCAAATTAGCACTTACAATTGGAAATACGTCAATAAGTCAAGACTAATCAGACGAGTGGAAACAGCAAGAGGCCGAATGAATGGAAAGATTCCCCGTGTGAGATCATTGGACGTGACAAGGTGCAGCCTTCTTTCAGCATTCCATTTGCAACGTCTAAGTCAAGCGGTAACGTTGAACATTCAGGACTTGTCCCTGATGATCTGCTGACTGCAGCAATTAGATCATAGGTGTTTGTGAAGTGAATTACTTTCGAGCCTTGGAATGGTTTGAAGATGGTCAAAGTGATCGGACGACAGGCGAAGTTTATCAAGCAAGCACATTTTAGGGAATTGATACAACACAAGGAAAAGTACGGAGTCTGAAGAAATTGCACGTGCATATTCATCTACATCCCACACAAAGGGATCAATGGATCTGCGGTCGAGAAAAAAAAAAATATGAATAAAAAGAAAATACCGTGAATAATGCCCACGTTGACCAGTAAGCAGATGCACTGTATGCTATGCTACGCAACCCAAGTATGAATGCTATCCAGTCTACACGCCGTGCCGTGTTAATGCAACCCTAATCAGGGTGAAGAGATCCAAACCCAACTGTGCCGAATTAAACTGGATCCCTTTGTGGAAAGCATGGCTTAAAAAAAAGCTGTGAAGCGTGACCTGAAAGCTAAAACGTTACAGGTGGTTCTGAATGAAAACTGTATGTACAGTGCCAGAACCTTTTGTCCCCATTTTTACTGAGTGTAAATAATGCAAAGCATTTTACATCCTTAGAATACCGAGCTGCTGGTTTGACTGTGTTTAATAACAGCAGGCTCGAACTACTGCGGGTGCCGAGGAAGATGAAAAAGATAAGCCTGCAGCTGATATTGCAACACGCTATAATATTACTATTTGGTGAAATTCAGTACCTCGACCTGTGGCAGCAAACAAAATTCAAAGCGCCTTCATGATGTACCAACAAAAAGCTATTAGTGTTTCGAACATGGAGAACGGAAACCGCAAAGGGAAGCCGTGAATGTTATTAACTCCGCTAGAAGTATGAGACGAGATGATTATAGTGTGAAACAAAATAAAATGTAAGACAGAAGGCTTCAGAGACGGGAGGGGACATGCAACATATTTCTGCAAATCTTGAGAGTTTTACACTCGAGCACCAGCAGTATGTTGTCTTCTAAACTCCATTCAGGGCCACATGCTTGACTGGCAGATGGTGATAAAGATATTTATCAGTTTTCCTGGCAAAGGTGTAAGATGACTCCATTCATGGCGAGAAGAGAGAAGACTCAACAAACAGTATTTTGCAGGGGAGGTGGGG